GTCCCAACAGCTCCGGCTGAAGCTGCTTTAGAGAGGACTCGGACAGGTCACTCATCCGAGCTTCACGCGCCTCCTCGGCATACCTGCCTTCAGCCTCGATCAACTCGTCCGTGAGCCACAAGAACTGCTCATAGTCCGCAAAGCAAGAGTCCAGGACTCCCTTCTCCACATCCGAATCCTCGAGCTCAGCGTAAGCCTCCTCCACTGCGGCCCTTCGAGCATCCACCTGCTCGAACCGCTTCATCAAGTTATGGACCCTATCCGGTCGACCTATCAAAGCATGGGCGCTTGTGGCCCAGCGCAACTCAGTCCGCAGACAACGGATCAGTAGCTTAGGCGATGTCATCACTATTAAATACAAATTACGACGCGGCTTGAGCACAGATTACAAAGATAACAAACAAAAAATAAAACAAAAATTAACAGTTAATAAATGCAGTTCCTATCAAATCGCGTTGAATAGAAATTACACAAATACGAATTACTACGTATCAACCAAATACAAGTTAGCTCAAAAGAAAAGACACAATCAAATTAACAAATAACAAATACTAGTGCGATGAAATCAAGTTAAATTCAAAGTACGCAAATACAATTACTACTCTTTAGTTCAAATACAAATTACAGTATAAACGAAGATACACATCACGGTCGATCAACAAAAATGCCTAGCTCGGAAATCGAACCTTCGATAAGTAATCCACTACAACTATCCGACAACGATAATTAACCGATTACGTAAAAATAACCATCTACCTACATGACGTATATCTCTAGAAAAACTCCCGCTTGCACAACCTAGGGCGCGGCTTTTCAAATTACCCTCTAACCAAAAAAAAGGCAAGCAACAAAGCAACAAAGGAAAATAATTCTATTATTACGTACAAAAAAATATTTTTACGTATTACGGACGGGCGTGATTGTAGATGCAAATTAAACCAATCACACCAACGCTCCCTGCCACCAAAATTGTTTAATGTTTATCAAACACTATAGTCGGGATCGACCGGGAATCGAACCCGGAATCGCGATCTGCTACCAATATGTTACGGCCTACGGCTGCTCCCTTAAAGGATCCAATCTTCAGGGGCCCATGAGCTGAAGACCTCCGAACAGACGTAGGTCGGGCCTCCTAAGGCCACGTGGAATCTCTCTAATTACTCTAAAATATATGGGGGAGAGTTATACTACGGACAGTCGACCGGAAGGAATTTGGCGGAGTTCACTTACCTCTATCCAAGGCGACTGGTCCCTCCGGAGTCGGTCAGGTCGCATGTGGTTGTGTAGTGCAAGGGAAAGAATGGTGATGTGGTGTGTATCTGGGTGTGACTGATGGTGATTGAACCTAGACCTTAGCCGTCGGCAGCAGCCCGAGCGTCGACACCGCTCCAACTTGAGGGGGCCTTTCGAGGTTATCCACAGTCACTTTCTTGGTTCACCACGATGACAGTCACTTAACTCTATCGTACTATTAACTAGCTTACCGAAGCCACTAACTATCGCGGGGTATAAGGTTACCGCACAAAACACGCCCGGAGTTTCTGGGTCAAAGGTCACTACCGGTTCGCGTGGCAACAGATAGTTCTAAATACGGAGGCCGCACTAGCTTATATTGTCGAATGCACTTATACAGATTCTGAGTCGGACCCAATAAGTCCCGGGAAAGGCTATCCAAACAGGGAATGCGCGTTATAATTCCTAGACAGGATATTTACTAGACGCCCTAACTATTCCGCGGTTCCCGCACAAAATTAACAGCGTGCAAACATTAGCACATCTGGCAGATGACTGACTCGCTTGCGACCCGCGCGCCACTGCCACGCTCGGAAGAACTTCAGACCGGAATCGCGCCGAGCCGAGTGACATCTGGTGTCGATTCCGACAACAGAGTTTTGCGCGAACATCAAATAAACAGTCAGTCGCTGTGTATGTATAAAACGGAAACTGCATTAATGGACTATAGTTTTTACTGAAGGTTACTTCCGTCCAAAAAAAGAACTGAGTTACCGTCAAGTCTCATCTAAAGCAGTTTTACTTCGATACTGGCACTCTAGTTGCAGACTTTTATGACAAGGCACACATTTAATTTTATTTATTATTTTATGTTATTATGTTTTATTTTATTTTATTCAACAACAAATTTATGTAAGTTCCGAAAAATCCAAAAATTCGCTCAACGAAAAATCGAGTTTAACATTGTTCTCAGATGAGCTTGTTGCTTAACATTAACAATGATATCGTAGCCAGCTTTCGTTATAATTAAGGTCAAAAAAGTTTCCAGAGAAAATCTTTTTGCTAATATTGGATTTACTCAAAAATTCATTTTATCAGCTTCCCGGAGAATATCTTCAAACGATTTTAATAACCGGCTGGTAAGGACATACATTTAAACGTGGTAGAGCCATGCTGCAGCTATATTAATAGTTGTAGCACGTATGGGTCGGCTCGACCGGGGAAGGACCACGCTCTCACAGAATACCTGCGTAAAATAGCAGCTTGATGCTGATCTATTTCACATGGTGAGTGTAGAGCAACGGAGATCCATTTTACTGGAAAAGAGGGATTATATCTTAGTTCTCACGCCTGACAACGCATCTGCATTTTAATTCGCAAACGAAGATAGATGTAGACGTCTATGGGCCACAGCAACCACTTACCATCAGGTGGACTGTGTGCTCGTTTGTCACCCTTATTCTATAAAAAAAAAAAAAAATCGATAATCTAATGTAACGCTTATACGGTAAGATCAACGGTTTGTTTGGATCTACGTCAGAAAAATGGAACACTTACAAGATATTCATATTAAAATCAATAATTGATATGTATAGATACTTACCCAGACTAGGCTGGTGAGGAAACTAATATGATCATGAGGTTGCTGCAATATTTATTTTTAAAATCATAATTAACTATTTTTTTTAAACAATAATAAAGACTTGTTTACACACGTGACAGCCCTACGCACGCGTCACTGGACTCGTCCCAGCGTGCCATTACTCACTGTCGGCCGCCATTTTCGACGCGCCACGCCCGCTACGCTACTACGAGGCTACGCCGTAGCACTGCAAGCCGCTTATGGCGACCACTTACAATTGCTTGTATCCTTATACTTTAATTAGTATTTAACAAGTAATTAAAGTTATAAGTTAAGTTAATTAAGTTTGTAAATGTGAAATACATATTTTGACTTGAATTTATAGAAATCGAAAAGTGTATGCACTGAGATTTTAGATAAATGTAAATTGTAAACATAATATCTTTTAAGTTTTGCTACATTATTGCTTTTATAAGGAATGTTAAACTGCTTAAACCGTTACTAAAATCTGACAAAAATGTTTTTGGTTTAACAGTAAAATTTATATGTGGAATTCCGAAAACACTTCAAACTACTAAGGTCTACTTACAAACCTTAAATGCATCAGCAATTTCTTTAAAGTTTCCAAGTTTATACGAACATAAGACTTATTCCGCTGCATCTGCTCTCCTAGTAACTTAAAAGCGGCGATATCTCTTGTGCACCTGACGACCTAGTGCTCGTTAGAAGACACTTTGTTTCTCGGCGCGCTCACTACTTTTTGTCAGTTCTGCCATCCTAGTGTTCTTTAAGTATTATTAAAGACGTGTTGTGTTTGTCTGTTGCGCCTTTTCATCTACGTATAGAGAGAGAGAGAGAGGGATTTTATTTCTGAATTAAATTTAAGCAGTAGGAATTAATTAACGTTTAATTATTAAATAAAGTCAATGCCTGTGGGAACATATACGATGATCGAATTATTCCTGATACTATGCATTATAAGAAAATAAAATATTGTAATTTTTTGTTGTAAATTTATTGAGAATTTCTGTAAAATCATATATAAATTCATAAGCATACTTAATATCACGCATAGGCGTAATATAGCAGGTCAGTTTGTCTGTCGGTGTTCTATGTAACAAATATTATATCTACGGAACGGTACGGTTCCTCAGGAGAAGTACCAAGTTTGCACAGAATACCAGTATGAAATCACAGCGTAATACTGGTGTGTTTCGTATAGGGAGTGATGAAAACCGGAGACCTACTTTACTGGTGGCGAGACATTTCATGTTAGTTCTCAGGGGTGCAGCATTCCCATACTAGCAGTTGGGCTATGTACTCGTTTGTTATTCTTACTGCTATAAAATAGACATAGTAAAATAGAAATAGACGTAGTTCTTTTTTCAGAACCGGTCAACAACACTCACAGCGAGTTGAGGATATGCCAAGCATTCGGGCGTAGTGTTTAGCTTTGTCGTTTAATAATGCGTACGTACAAAATTGACATGATTTACGAGAATTTTTCTTTAAAAAAGTAGTAAATAAGCTTTTTGTAAGCTAGTGCGATTTAATATCTAAGGCTGCATCAACATTTTCTATGCCTCCTTTTATATAAAAAAATCACGTGGGGACGTTGTTATGCACTAACTAGAAGTGTGTGTATAGGGTAATTGATTTTTTTTTTAAATTTAATGAATATCGAATTAATGAAGTTTTCTGGTATTTAAATATAAGATGTTGTAAAATAAACTAATGTACAACATAAAATTATATCACGGGAAGTCAATACACCGTGTTTTTTTCTGTAGTTTTTTTTCATCCTTTTCATATTTATCTATGGTTGAAATTTTAAGTTCACATTTACATTTATTAGATTTTTTGTTATTTTTCTAATAACTTATTACCTAAAGTGATACGAGTATACTATAATATCTACGTTTGAGTAGAGGTTCATAAGATTTTTATTTCACTATGTGTTTCTTTTTGTCGTGGTGGTTCAGATGCTAAATGTAGTACACACCAATGAAATTGTAGATTGCAATTTTAAGTGCTGATTTACCGCGTGCTCGGGGAAGAAAAACATCTTGACTAAATCCTCGTGACTGCGCAGTAAAAAAAAATATTTCGAAATGTGAAAAATAGTTATTAAGAAAGGTTTAAATGAAATAAAACAAAATGTTTTTTTTAGTTTTTAATATTTTTTACACAATTCGTAGCATTCATAATGCCGACACATCTCTTCCTTCGCAGCGTCCCGTCAGCGTCATAGGTTTTACAATAGTTTTATATTTTTTTGTTCAGACTACCGCGTTTAGTTTTTAATATTAATATAATATGTACTTTGTCGAAATTATACAATACAAATATATACTTAATTTTTTTTCACGTATCGGTTCATTGTTCCGCTGAGGGACGCCTCGTGTTCGTTAGTTGCTATATTTACAATAATTCCATGACTTTCAAACTCATTATGTAATATACATATACATATAATAAAGAGAAAAATCAAAATAAAATTCTTCAATTAATACATTAATGCCTAACAGCTACTATTTAAGACTTTCCTCTTAATAAAATATATTACACGCCATGTAATTAACAATAATAATAATAATAATAATAATAGGTAAATATTAACAAAGACCAGCGTTCCAAAAGAAATAGTCGGTTTTTTCGACGAAACATTTTTTTTTTTAATACTGAAACTTCACTGGAAACAAACGACTTTTATACAAAGGAAAGCGACTCAAATACAATTCGATGATATATTTACAAAGAATAACAAAAAATTCTAAAGTGTATTCTAATGCGATACAGTTGTTTTTTATATAAAAATGATATTATATTAATCGCCTATTAATATTATAACATATAGAATATTATTCATATATTAGTCACATTATTGTTTGAAAATATACAGCACACTGGTTCATTTTTATACCGAGTGTATTAAAAATTCAATTATTATTGGTTTTAATTTCTAAAATAGCCGGCATTGATAAACTGTAAAAAGTTAAATATAATTGTTGTCATACACAAGTCCATTTGTAATTATTTAAAGCATACTATAACATTGGAATATTTTATCAAAGTAAACATAGTTTAATTTTAAAAACAACCATATCGCATAAATTTGTTAAAGAAATATGATGTTTATTACACTAGTATAAAGCTTGATCTTGGATAACTCTTTACCGCTATTAAAGTTATACCATAGCTAGATCAATTTTGAAAATTTTTTTTATAGCTCCCATTCGTATACATGGCTTAAGGCTTGTAATGCAAAGCATTACATTTTTCTAAAAGTTACTGTGGAGGTAAAATATTTAGAACAGTATATTATGTATAGTAATTATATTAATATTGACAGAACGTTGGTCACTTTTTTTAAAATACAAGTAAGATTGCAATGAATGAAATAAAATACCATAATTTAGAAACGAAAATGTAAAACACTCCACATATAACCTTTAATATAATAGAGAAAAACGCGCCAAAACCAGAGTAAAACAGACAACTGTCACAATTGTCCCGCACATTTGACAGGTTACATTTTACTTGGATTTGGGCTAAGACATTATGAGAGCGGCCATTTTATTTCTTTAGAGGGTTTCACGTATAAAAAAAACCACACGGATAACAGCATAATCTAATGTATATTTAAAGCAAATTAAAGGTAACAGTGATAGAAAGTAAGAGTAATATGAAACTAAACGATAATCACATACATATATTGACACACTCCTACCCTCTGTTAGCAAAACAGCCGCACTCACCACTAAAAGCGGATTTCAATTCGAGTTACAAAGCTCAATCGATTATCAGTCCAGAAAAATCTCACAAATATCGTTTAGTATACGTTTTATGACATTTAAAATGGCTACTAATAAAATAAAAATATCCTTTTTGTAGTCTTTACACTACGAGAAGTTTCAACATTCGATATCCAGTTAACGTACAAGGCAATCGATGTCCAGGTATCGAGACAATATAGAGTTAAAAATCTCATTGACTTTAACATTGTAAAATATCATTTTTTTCATCGTATACATCGGTTACAAATTGTGCTACATTATTGAACACCAAGGCAAGGTGAACATGATATTCAAATTATTATCAATATCATCGTATTAATAAATATACAATATAATATATATATATATATATAATTCAAAGATATGTATATGTCAACCTGTAAAGCAAAATCACAAAACGGGCAATGAAATTAGGTTTCGAGAAATTGACGTCGAACTAGAAGTACCTACATTTTGAGCTTAAAATCCAAAAAAACTAGTAGTAGATAACAGATGCGAAGAAATCGAGAAGATAAGTGCTATTTTTTTTTTTCAGAAACATTTGATGGTTGTTCCCACAGATCGTAATGGCTGACGCATACGACCAAAGTTCACCAATCTGTTACTATGAGGTATCACATTGGACAAAATTGGTTTCCATAGATAATATTTGGATTTGCTATCTTAGAAAGATAATTTAGGAAGCTTAGTCGTCCGCGTTCGCCCACATTTACTGTTGATCAAATGAAGTTGAAATCATACCTATAAATCCTATTACATACACAGTTCCTTTACAAAAAAAAGTGTCCCACTTACTTCTTTGACCCTAGTACTTCCAGTGATAGTTACAACTTACAACTATTCAATTATTTATTTATATTTAAGTAATAACAATACACAATTAGCTATAAATATTTATACGATAACTATCAAACCGTTTTTATTGTTATATTCATCTTTGCTCCTATAGTCCCGTGTGATAAACCGCATTTTATTATATAGGCTGATTGCACCGGTTTTCTATTATACAGCGTCCACAGTGTCACTCCGCGTAGATTTACATTTACATTAATTTAAACATTTAAGTTGACTTTAAATCTTAATTTAGGAGATCGTATACTGTTTCAATATTACAAAACGTATCGCATTATGTACATGTAGCATCGTTCTCCAGTTTGTTCGTATCACGTGTTGGCCTGCTTAGGTCTCAAGTCCGCAGAGGTCGACCCCGGCTCGAGAGAGCTGAGGCCGGACGATGTCAGTGTTATTCATATCTGAAACAAGAAAAACCGAACGTTACAAATCTTAAATGGGTTATTTATAAAGATCCATTATAGCCTATTAAAGTTCAATCAACATAAGCCTCCCTACAGATTGTTTTATAGGGGTGATTTTGGTTGGCACAGGCCACGGCAGGCGGGTTGGCAAGCGCAGTTTCTTTTTGAGTTTTCTCCTGTTTCAATTTCACTCTGTCGCCTCTTGCGACATCCACGTGACGATATAGGATGTAGCGTGATTGTGGAGCAGGAACAATGTCAAATGATTGCAATTCATACAAATATGAACTTTTATCACTTGAGAATAAACTCGGTTTTAGAATCACAAAAACTGTTTAAAAGGTCCTAAAACTATCTTAGTTGCAATAGAAATAAAACTTTGTGTGGAGGGAATTAAGTTTAAAAATGCAAAGCATTAAATTTTTTCCTGCTTCGTCACCGCGCTTTAGTGGATATTCTTATAGTGCCACTACACAGTTTATAAAGATCGGATGATGTATTTTACATTGTTTTAGATTTGGCTGTATGAGAAAGTATTTCTTAGCGGATTTCAAATAAAGAACGAAATTTCAATTTGGATGTATATTCTTTTTTTATGTGTTTTACTCGATATCATCGTCAGTTGTGGCCCATTTTGAATATATTTTTTATTAAATAGATTATACTCCAGCGGTAGTCCCACGTAAATTGAGAAAAAAACCCACCCGGAATGGTGGAAAATATGGGATGAAGTTTTTAATGTAAATATTTAGTCGACGTTCGAGTTTTTGATAAAATTTGATCCATTCAAAAGGGTGAAAAAATTAAACCTTAAATAAAATAAAGTCAAACTCATAATAATAAAATGTGTTCAAAAAGTCGCATGAAGTAGAGATTATTAACAAAGATTTTAAAATGTTGGCAACAAATAATTACCACTTAATTTTGTGTAATTTCAAATGTTACATAAATTATAAAAAAGTAGTTATTATATAATATGTACATTATTTGTTTTATGTTTTATGTAGTAATTCTAGCAGTATGAATGATGATATTGAAAGGAAAAAGGCTGTTTTTAGACACCTAAATAAGAGAGTAAAAGAAGTAGTTGAAAGGAAAAAGCAAGAAAGAACGGATAAGAATGATAGAAGAATATCGGATAACTTCCAGGAAAACATTAAAATGTTCTGGAAACTCGTAAGAACTACCAGGGGACACTCACAACAGCCTAGAATGAATGCTATACGAGACCAGAATGGCTGTATTCTGAATGACGAAGTTTTGAGTTTAAGGAGATGGAAGGAATACTTTGAAAGCGTGTTTATGAGTGATGAGACGTTTGAATTAAATGAAATAGAAATTCCGAAAGAAGAGGAAATAGATAGAGATATAAGTATAGATGAAATAATGAAAGCAATGAAAAGTATGAAAGTAGGTAAGGCAGCTGGTTATGATAGAGTATCTCTCGAAATGCTAAGGGCTGGAGAAGGAGTGGTGGCAGACCTGCTGTACACCTTGTTTAATTTATGTTGGGAACTTAAGCGGGTACCGGGAGACTGGTGCAAAGCCGTGATAGTCCCAATATATAAGGGAAAAGGATCACAGCAGGACTGTAAAAACTACCGTGGTATCAGCCTTCTTAGCATTGTGGGAAAACTGTATGCTAAGGTACTAATTGAAAGAGTTATGAAAGAAACTGACGGAAAAATTTGGGATGTGCAAGCGGGATTTAGAAAGGGAATGGGATGTACGGATCAGGTCTTTTCCATGCGCATGATCGCCGAGAAGTTTTTGGCCAAAAACCAAAAAGTTTTTTGTGCGTTCATGGACAGGGATGTGTTATGGCAAACACTGAACTCATTTGGGTTGAGCGCTGGTCTGATACAGGCATTGAAGTCTCTATATAGGGACTCTAGTGCTTGTGTCAGGATCAACGGGGCCTACTCGGACTGGTTTGACATCCATAAAGGTGTCAGACAGGGCTGTGTGGCTTCCCCGTGGTTGTTCAACCTATTTATGGACAGTTGTTTGGAAAATTTGAAAGTAGAAGAATGCGGGTTAAGAATGGGTGAGTTAACCGTCAAATGCCTTTTGTACGCCGATGATCAAGTCATACTTGCGTCGTCGGCAGCCGAGTTGCAAATGATGGTTACATTAATGAACAGGACATTAAAAGAAAAGGGAATGAAAGTGAACGCAAGTAAGACGAAAGTTATGGTTTTTGAAAGAGAAGAAAGTAAAACGATATGTGAAATAAGAATAGAAGGGGAGTTGGTAGAGCAAGTAGATGAGTTTGTATATTTGGGATGTGTGTTTAGCAGGGATGGTAGATATGATAAGGATATAGAACGACGAGTGAATGCAGGAAATAGAGTGAATGGGGCTCTACACTCTATTGTGAAAAGTCAGAATGTGTCCAAAAAGGCACGTATGGCAATTCACAATGCTGTGTTAGTACCTACTTTAATGTATGGTAGTGAAAGTTGGGTGTGGCAGAAGAAGCATGAGAGTAGAATAAATGCTGTAGAAATGCGGTCATTAAGGAGTATGTTAGGGATGAAGCTGAATGACAGAGTGAGAAATTGTTTAATAAGAGAAGAGTGTGGTTTGCAAGATGATGTTGTGACCAGGATTAAGAAAGGAATGCTTCGGTGGTTTGGCCATGTAGAAAGAATGAATGAGGAAAGAGTGACAAAGCAAATTTATGTTGCAGAGGTGAACGGCATAGTCGGGAAGGGTCGCCCTAGGCGAAAGTTTATCGACCAAATTGGCGATATATTAAAAATGGGCCAAATCAAGAGTACCTTTAACCGACGAGCGTGTATGCGTAGGTATATGGACGTGGAGGAAGCGAGAGAGGTGTGTCAGGATCGTGCCAAATGGAAGTCCATAATCTCTGCCTACCCCTCTGGGTGACAGGCGTGAGTGTTTATGTTATGTTTTATTTGTTTTAGTGTGCAGATGAAAGTGAAATACACATACAATTGCTTAAACAAACTTAAATATTATTAATAGTTAAAATATTTATTCTCAAAAGAAATATACATTTCACTTAATGAGACGTTACAATATTCAATATAAAATTTGATTGTGAACAACAGAATGCAAAAAAAAAAATACATTAAAAAAGGAGGGAAAGAGTGTCGTGACATGCAACTTCTTACTAGTTTTTGCATACAACTTAATACTTCCTTAAGATATAACTTCTAACACTTTAAGGAATTACGGTCGAATTTCGACCACTAGTTGAAGTGAAATTAGTTAAACATAAAACTATACTTACATGTACAAGAGTGCTGTCTGCATTAAAGATGGTGGCCGTAATACTCGGCGGGATAATGCGCGTAGCCCTGATGGAAGGCGGGGTCCGTTGGCGGCCTGTGCATCATCTGCTGGCCGTCCATCATGTAGCCCATGGTCGCCTCGGGGCTGTACGCACCACTGGGGCCCGCGTGCGGGAACACTGCCGGGTAGAACACTGATCGGTTAATTAGACCTGCTGTAGTTATCAGGATAAAGCGTATATAGTTTTTTTATACGATAAGGGTGACAAGTGAGCACACAGTCCATGTGATGGTAACTGGTTGTTGTGGCCCATGGATATCTACTTCTATCCTTGTTCAAATGCAAATGCAGATGCGTTGTCAGCCGTGGGGACTAAGATGGAATGCCTCTTTGCCAGTAAAAAGGGTCGCCGGTCATCTACACTCACCATACGAAACAGTGCAGCATTAAGCTGATTTTTTACGCTGGTATTCTGTGAGAGCGTGGTACTTCTCCGGTTGAGCCGACCCATTCGTGCTACAACTATACTACTAATATAGCTGCAGCATGGCTCTACCACATATACTACGTATAGTACTTATCATTTCAAAGATTCCTGGCCTCCCCCCTAAAGGTTGCCTCGGGAAATTTTGAAAAAGTTACCACGCTTGGTAGGTGGGTTCGCAACCGCAATTGTTTTATTAGTTACGGTTGTAATCAGGAAGATGCTGCTGCACATCTCCTGCTTCAGTATCCCTCTGTTACTTCCTACGACACCCACGGGATGATATGGGGTAGTGAATATTCTTACGCCCCTACTATTTCACAGCACCAGTAAAGCATAGTTATAACTATTTAAATCATGCACAATTTTAAGTTTCGTCTGGAATTCAAATCTAGATCTTTCACGCATTATGTGTTAAGGCAGATATAAGAGCAACACTACAAATATAAATTACTAACTAAGAGTGTGGCGAATGTGTATTTAATAAATTTTTTTATATATTTAATTTTAAAAATAAACAAATGTTAAATGATTTGTTTTTGTCCTAACGAAGATGACCGCGTGATTTGACGAAGAATGTAAGTAAGAACAGTATAGAATAAGGGTGACAAACGAGTACACAATCTAGCTGAAGGTACTTTGATGCTGTGGCCTATATACAACTACATCCACCATCGATTAAAAATCTAAATACAGATGCGTTGTCATTAAGATGGAATGCAATGTCTCCCGTAGAAAGCCTTGACTTGCTATTTCACGCTGGTATTCAGTGAGAGCGTGGTCCTTCCCCGGTCAAGCATTCGCACTACAACCATAATATTACTGCAGCATGGCCTTAACAAGTAAAAAGCAAGCAAGTTTAAAATTAATAGCGATAAGATCCATAAAATAAGTTTTGTTTGAGAATAAATGTATGATCTGGCGTAAAGATTGTTTTAGTTTTAAAACTTTTAAATTGTGTTAGCACAAAATTGACGTAGAACTCTAAACTTGGCTATTTACTAATTTAATAGGACAATACAATTTATTTATTAAATACTATCAAAAATAGTAAATTGCCAAACTGTTCAAAGTTAATAATTGTAAAAGAAATCGATAATTCAATTTTGTGAACATTATTGAAAAAGTTTCGCAAAAAAAAAAAAACTAGTCGAAGAATTGTCCAAATCGCTATTGGAATCCGCTCAATTTTACCACAAAACTGTTATGCCTTCCGGTTGCAATATATTCCAAGGATTATCAATCGTAAACTAATGGTGTTCGTCCATTATAGACGCCGATTTCCGCCTTCGTCGTGGGGTCTTTATGGTGGCACGCGCCATTGCTCCAAGAGAGTTCGGAACAAACACGCTAGCGATCTAATGTCTTGTTCGAAATGACTTTCCAAAAAAAGTACATTAGAATTTGTCAATATATGTTAGCATATAGCTAGAACTTTTAATGCCAGCTAATATTATTTTTACCACGTTTTTATTAACTTGCTTTCATGTATGTCTGTCCGATTGCGATTCGAATTTTGAAATTGATTTGAAACCAACTTCCCGATGATGACTTGAAATTTTGTACATAGCTAAGAATCGGACGACAATGTAAAAATATGAAAAAATGTGGTATATTTAAAAAAATATGAAATTTTTACTAATTGTAATTTAAATTTCGAGTTATAGATAAATTAGTGCGAATATCGTGAGTTGTAACAATTGCGTAAATTTTATTTAATGTCTAACCAATTTTGTAACAAATTTATCTTAACAAATAAAAATACAATTTTTATAATGCATTATAATATTTTTGATTATATTATATTTTATTATATTTTTAATTAAAAAAATCTTACATAGAAAAGATAACGAGTATATTAATAATTGATCGGTGGAGTAGTCGATGACGCGTAGATCCCTGTTACTAGACTAGGAAGACAGGAAACAATAAAGGATCCCCCGGGATGCCGGCAGCGGCCCGCGTTACTAGGAAACTATGATTTAGTAGGCGGTAATCTTCACGAACGTCCTTGACGTTATTGTCAATGTATTGTGCAATACGACTCGAGGAGGCTGTGGTTCTAATCAACTTGTAGCCTATACGGACCTCAATACGGACACACTATCTGTCATTTGTATGCCGTTAGTCATCGTTTAGTTAATTGTTATTTATACTATAATAAATATTTGATAGATGAAGCAGTAATGATACTGAAACCAGTAGAAGCTTTGCAGATTATGTAATAAATTCACTAAGAATTACTTGCAAATATTTATCATACTGAACCTTCATGATTTTTAAATTTAATTTATTATGATTATTATCAGTTCGTAAAAATCAATATATAATATGGCTTCTTTCAAATTCTGCATCACCACTTACCATCGGTGGAATAGTAATGAAGCAGTGACTTTTAATAGTATTTTAATGGTTATCGTAATTACAATATTGTAGATAATCTAGATTGGCCGAAAATATGTTTGTCATAAGACGAATTCTTTGTTCCGCTCATGCCATATGGCTACGCTTAGTAAGCGGGTTGGCAGACGCAGTTTTTTTTAACTATTGGTCAGCTGTTATCAGGAAGATGTTGTTGCACAACTCCTGATTCACTTTCCGTTTTTCCCCTCTCACAACAGTCACGTGATAATATGTGGACGATTTGATGAAATATCCAGGAAATCGATGGATGCAGGTGGCTCAAGACCGTGCTTAGTGGTACGCTATGGCCAATGTTATGAAGTGGACTGTTATGATAAATGAATGATGATGAAGAGGAATATTTTGTAATAATGCAGTAAAGTAAAAAATTTAAAACAAAACATGCAAAATTCATGAACAGTTTACTCAATATAGTTCTATTTTTGGTAATGGACACGTACGGTAGTACTTTTGCCAGTGTATTCAATATATAACTTGATTTCATATTCTAAATTTTGTATTTATTGTCCATTGTCTTAAGTACTAAGGCGACAGGCAGCTGGCAGCGGTGTATACTAAACATTCAGGACATAAAGCAGGGACCGAGTTCTAAATTTCCCGAGCGGATGCATTCGCCGCCAAGTTTGCCGACGACGGAAAATGGAAAAACCGGAGGGTGGAAGGATAGATGGAAAATTGTTTTGGCAATCGGCTAAAGAAAATGGCCACCGCATTTCCTGTGGTCAAACTGAGAGCGCTTTTCCAATCGCTGAAGCTCCGGCGAGTTATGTATTCCTTGTGAGTTCGTACTGCGTTCTGGTTAGTCGTTTTAAATTTAAAGTACTAGAAAGTGGAACTCAGTTTGTTTTCTTTTGTGCCATTTAATGTAAACTGTTTGGTAAGGTATTTCTGCCACTTTCCGTTCAAAATACATGAAATTTGAAGATTGATCTGTTTTATAAAAGGGGCAGGCTACCATTTTCGAATTCAAAATGCTTGATTTTGAAATGAAATTTCTTTTTTGGTATTTTGATAACTACTTTTCTTTATGAAATTCACTGTTATCGTATTGGCGCCATTAGTAAAATCACATAAATGCAAGTATCCATATGGAATAGGGCTGTCATCGGCATATCGATACTTGCATTACGCGTTGTCGACAAACACGACGCTGTCAGTGGATCGACGCGCGCCATATATACGGATATATACGGATAACGTTGCGACGTTCGCTAATGAATTTATTATAAGGGCATAAATTGCACTGTGATGCGACACCATTACCGCCGGCCTGTAAATTACAATTCGTTCGATGGCAGCCGACCTGCGATATTTCCTACAGATCGTTTATTGAGCTTTTCACGCGGATTAAAGCGTGTCCTGCTAGTGCAGTTTATTAAAAACTCGAACGCTCTCGGATATTCCTGTTTGGATTATTTTTACGGAGTGAATTGACGCTGGTTTTAATTAAAACATTTTATCTAACACCGTTCAATTTATTTTTTTATTTTACATATAGTTTTTATTTTATTTCGTATTGTAATGTATGCGCTTTGTTCAAGCTTGTATAAGTTAGTATGTATTATAAGATCTTTGGTTAGTTTTATATTACTTTTGCTTTTATGCATTACACTTGATATTATATATGGCCACAACATAGCGAAAGTTGTAGCTACAATAAATTGTTGTACCTTTTATAGTGAACTTTCATTTTGAATGACTTGGAGATATATCTATGTTTTTTAAACAAATAAATTGCTAAAAAAATTACTATATATCTGTAATAATCAAGTAGGTATTTAATGTGATAGAGCTGTGTTGCAGTTATATTATGATTGCAGTACGGGTAGGTCAACTTGACTAGAAAGAGGCCACAGTCTAACAGAATATCAGTGTACAATAGTAGATAAATCATGCTGCGTTTCGTATGGTCTCAGGTTCAAGCAAAAGTTTATATTCTTGTACTAAAGAATTAATTTCTACAATGTGTTTTAAGGTTCAAAAGATACAATATTCATCAAAAAAATTGTATTTGCGCTCCGATAAGATGGGAAATTTCAACAAGGAAGACAACATTATCGTTATCAATGAGTTTTCTTTAGATGGTTTTATGTAAATTCTATAATTAGTAATGATTTTACAGTAGTGATGTTATTATATCTTTATGTGAGTAAATAACCAAAAAAAATTTAAAGACAAAAGGAGAAGTAATCCCCTTATAGGCGAATAACACATATCTAGATAGAGGAGGGCGATCGGAGGCGGCGGCGGAGGGGCAGAGTGATGGATCGCTCGGGACGGGTCAACGAATTCGGACATTATTCTTTTTTACCCTTCTTGCGTTCCGTTCGCAAGAGTAAGCCCTTTTTCTGCGACGTCCTTTTTTCCCCTCTCCCCGGGCGGAATTTTTGTGTCCCGGGAGCGTTTTATGGACTGAGCGCAACAATTACAAAGTAAAAATGGAATTGGCCGTTTGTAATTCTGCTACGCAGAGTCGACGGGAGAAATGTCAAGATCGATGGGCCGGATTTATAAGGAGTTTACATTATTGCCATATTGTTAATTTTAGCTGCAGTTAATAATATTGTTACGTTGATAATTAACAAATTAGTTGTTGCAATTAAGATATTCTACTGCCATGATTTGCTTCTTTTTATTTTTCAACCGCCTTCAGAAAAGAGGTTCTCAATTCGTCGGAATCTTTTTTTATGAATGTTCACCGAGTAGGTACTCGAAGACTTCTGTACCGATTTAGACAATTCTTATTTGTTTCAAAGAGTATACTTCTCAGATAGTGTCATTTAAATTTTATCGATGTCGGTTGAGCGGCTTAAAAAATCAGCAACAAATTATTTATATTGACGTGCAAAATTTTTAATTTTACCGCTTGAACTTTTAAAATAGCACCGTCCAACTAATCATTTGTAATATTCTATCACATAAGCGTTGTTTAGATTGAAATTACATATTATTATTTTTTCAAAAAGTCATAATTCTATTTGAATTAATTATCAATGAATTCGAAAATGTTAGTATTTTAATAAACAAAAGAGTTATTAAAATGATGTATGTACAAGAACAGCTTATAAATTGGATCTGGTTTAAAGGAATAAATATTTAATAGAAAGTAGAATGTAGAAAGCATTAGGTAAACTTTTGTTAATTAACAAGTTATAACAATAAAACATTTAAATTTGAAAGTGTTATGTGTACAATATGGACAATTTTAAATCCCCCTTAACCCAAAATTCCCGTTCTACTGGACAAATTTAAATTAAGGATTTGATGCTTAAGCCAAAAGTAATCCTGCGACAAAAGCATAATATTCCTCTGCAATTCTCTTCCCGATCCCATCATTATTCAAAACACAGCTGTGCCTCTTTGTTCAGGCCTGCACTAAAAGCTATGAAGTCGCAATCCTCCAGGGAGCAAGACTACTCAGGTGCAACCCTGCATAATATATTAGGCTGTATGCGGTCAGCGCAACTTAATTTTGTACATCAAAGTCTCTTGGACTGGTCGCGAATTTCAAATACGCGCTTCGTAGACATTTACGTTAACAAAGATGTCGGTCAGTTTTTATGTGCAATTAAAATAGATTTTTTCAAAACGTTATTAGTGACTTGTATTAACATTAATAAAGAAAGGAAAATGTACTTGGTAACAGATGATCAAATAGATTTAATGATTTCTTATATTTACGCGAACCGTAAAGTTAGTTTTATTCACATGGAATAAAACTAACTTTACGGATTTTATCGCGTTTAATTTAAACTTTTTTAATTCACTACGTTTTGGGCACTTTACAGCAACCATGGTCACGGGGGGGGGGGGGAGATGTTTGACGTCCTGAGATGTCATAGTTAGCGAACCTTCAACTTTTAATTATAAATTTTTGGTCCAATCTACGCAGAACGAGCTTACAGCTTGAAATCTTGCAGCAGTATGAACAGGGCGAAAAACCAGGTTCATACAGAATTCTAGCATGAAACAGCAGCATAATGCAGCTGAATTTTGTATGGTGAGTGACGAGACCTGGACTTTTCAGCATCCCATTTTATTTTTCATGGGTGACATGCATCATAAGTCTTGTTCAAATATAGTTGTATGTGTCCACGGGCCACAGTATTCACTAACCATTAGTTAAACAGCATGCTTGTTTGTCGTTTTACTTATATATTAATAAAGATTAACCTAGACGTATTAATCTGGACGTGAGAAAGTAGTAGAGATAACAAATCACAGTTACGTACTACTTAGTTACGTACTTCGGACTCCTTCTAAACCATGAGGGTTTAGAAGGAGTCCGAAATGGAGCAGATATAAGTAGAGAGTAATTATTATAATAAATTTAAAATTTTTAAGCAGATGTATAAGAAATATGTTACCTGCTCTATTTGACTGGTCTATCATTGGTTGTACTATCCTACGTCTCGCGTTGATGAACCTGCAATTAAAAAAAAAACGTAAGTTAGTATGGTACACTTTTAACATCAAAATATGCGATATTCAAAGATGATATTCAAATATCATAATTTTAAAAACGTTTGCAAAATAATGACTAACATCTGCTTAATGCAGCTATATAATTATGGAAGTAATTTAACTTTATTATATGTCATTTTTAAATATTTTAATATTGTGAGTGCAATCAAGAATGACAAAATGATAACAATATATGATCGCTATATATCCTTCACCAAGAAATGAGATAGATAACTATTATACTTGCTGCTAGCCGTTACAGCCTATTAAATTCCACTTCTCTTCTTCTAACGTGGTAGAGCCATGCTGCAGCTATATTAGTAGTATAGTTGTAGCACGAATGGGACGGCTCGACCGGGGAAGGACCACGCTCTCACAGAATACCAGCGTAAAATAGCAGCTTAAAACTGCTGTGTTTCGTATGGTGAGTGTAGAGAACCGGAGACCCTTTTTACTGGAAAAGAGGCATTCCATCTTAGTCCTTACGGGTGACAACGCATCTGCATTTTTATTCGCAATCGAGGATAGATGTAGATGTGTATGGGCCACAGCAACCACTTAACATCAGGTGGATTGTGTGCTCGTTTGTCACTCTATCCTATAAAAAAAACTCATGAACATAGGCCTCCCCCATAGATTGCTTCATAAGGGGGGTGGTTTCCACGCTTGGCAAGCGGATTGGCAACCGCAGTTTTATTTATTTTAAGCCGTTATTAGGAAGACGCTGCTGCCCTAAAAATATCTTAGGCTGCCCATCCCCTGATTTGTTTCGCTTTGCCGTCTCTTACGACACCAACCGGATGATACGGGGTAGTGGATATTGTTACACCGCCACTATACGGTAATTGTTGCTACTAGCATTAATCAAAAAACGAAAGCCAGTCGTTTTGTTATGATTGTTGCTTGTCAAAAATACAAGATATTGTATTGTTAGTCCATGCTTTAACGTGGATATCACCAGCCTGTATCCCAGTGTGATCTGTATACAGGTTCACATCTAATAAACTATTGTTTTTAGAATGAAAAAGATTAACTGTCCATAGGATACGTGAATTAACTTCAATATACAATATAGTGTTATTGTATACGTTAAAAGAAAGATGAATTCGCTGTGTCAGAGACACGTAGACAATCGCACTTTATAGTCTATATAGTTTAGTTCGAGGTTCAAACACATTTTACTAAATAGAAAGAACACTAGAAATGCTGTCAACACTAATTTTCATTACAACAGTTGTTGATTGCCGAATTCGAACTCATGACTTTTAAGTTCCAGGTCCGCATACTGATCTATCAGGTCATTGTCAATTTTAATTAAATTTGGTCGCAACTGTTGATGGTACTGTGATCAAAATTAATCTAGGCATGCACATTAACAAAGACTAAAACATACATTTATTCCTACCCTAAGTAAAACATACGCACATTTTTAAAGTAGTTGAGTATTAAAGTTTAATATCCATGCAATTACTTGCGATACGTGGCACGTTCGCTGAATAAGTAAGACCTCGGGCGCGGCAGTGTTGCATTCCCAAATTAACTGTCAGAGCGAATCTTGCGCGGGCAACAGATATTCGCTGATTGTTTTGAGATTCGGTTTGGATTTCATTATATACTTAATTCGCTACGTTTACAAAGCTGTCTTTAATGTTTTATTATTATATAATTTGAATTATTATCGACATACAATCTCTATATAATGTGTACATCACTATAGTTAACGTTAAAAACATATTTTGCCTTCATTATGTAAAATGTCTTTCCCTAAGTCTATAAGTTATCGAAAAAAAACTCAAAAATTTTAATCTATAAATTCAGAAGTCCAGAGAGTGTCCACTGGACCCTACAAAGGTTCGTATCCCTTGCAAGGGACGTAATTGCCACGAAACATGGCGTCGCGTCCGATGTGTCTAATGTATTGTTAATATCTAGATTAGTTCATTAACTCTTCATCCCGTCCCAGCAGCGGCGCACTCCGCAGGCCCTCTGGGAGAGGGGATGGAAAAACAGCCCCAACTTTCACGACACTTAGGGTGAATTTGCTAAATCGCCTTCGGTATTAATTTTGACAGCAATAATTGTTATTGCAGTGCCTTTAAAGCGACAATATGTCGCGAAAGTAATGACATTGTACGCAATTAAATATTTTGTCAGTTTGTATGTGTGTATAAAATGTAACTTATAGTTTTGTCTCGTTCTAATTTTGTAAATGAATTATATTTTTTAAATAGCTGACCATTTGCTCGGGTTACTTCAGTTATATAAAGCGTCAGAACTTCGTTATATCCTGTACATCATTTGGTTTTAATTACTAACAATAGTAAAGTTAGTATTTATTGGAATTGTTCTGGGTAAATTATTTTAGTTACATATGACTGGACTTTTATTTTCCGATAGATAGGTAGTTAATTAATATGAGATATAATTATGTAAGAATAAGAGATATTAATTAAATGTCTATCGGAAACTAAAAGTCCGGAAAAAATTAAAATTTTTAGACTGATTCAGAGGTGAAAGAAGTTTTCTTGGTAGGCTAAGAAGGGCTAGAACCCAGAGCTGGAAAGCCAGTTAAAAAAAAAGAAGTTTTCTTGTCTCGATTAAAGGAATTTAAATTAAAAACTATTAATATGAAAATTACGCCAAAAATGTGTAGTAGCGACCTAAGAAAATATATCACCTCATATCGTCCCATACGATATCCAAGAGTATGAATGGTCTATGGGGAATTTTAGATAGATCTTTGAAAATACATAATAGTATGGCCATATGGCAGTGTCATCATGTCATATATGCCTGATATGAAACTCAGAATAACATTTTCAGACCGGAGGGAGTGTTAGAGATACGGCGAGCTTACTACTGCGATTGGCCAAGCTCGACGATTCAGACAAATCCTTCCTACTATGGAAAAAAAACACATCCAGCTGTAAGCTTTTTTATATAATAAGGGTGACAAACGAGCATACAGTCCACCTGATGGTAAGTGGTTGCTGTGGCCCATAGACATCTACATCTACCCTAGTTCGCGAATCAAAATGCAGATGCGTTGTCAACCTTGGGGACGAAGATGGAATGCTTCTTTTCCAGTAAAAAGGCTCTCCGGTTCTTTACACTCACCATACGAAACACAACAGCGTTATGCTGCTATTTTACGCTGGTATTCTGTGAGAGCGTGGTCCTTCTGTGGTGGAGCCGACCAATTCGTACAATAAATATAGGTGCAGCATGTAATCTAAGACAATATTTTAAGGATAGTCTTGTAAAGACTAAAAGGTACCTTTTTACATTATAATATATTAAACTGCTCGTTTCTTTCCACTTTTTGTATAATCGATTAAAACATTATATTGTACATTAATGTTTAAAAAATCCTGCTGGGTTTCTTCCTGATTCTTCCCAGGACTGAGGTAGAGCATAAATAACTTTCAATAAATATTCTTGATATGTATTTAAATAAAATTAGTTTTTACGGATTTTATCGCGTATATTAACTTATTTTAAATTCCTCAGTCCCCCCGTGACTGTGGGTGCTGTAAAGTGCTCATAACGTTGGGAATATAAAATAAGTTAATATACGCGATAAAATCCGTAAAATCTACTTTTATTCTTGATATCTATATTGGAACAAAAAATATTCTATTCTATACTTATTATTAGGTTAAGCTTGTTTCAAGCCGGTAATTACATTAAAATATATAATTTATTTATATACATGCACATGCTTCCTGCATAATAAGATTAAGTAATATATGTGTAACATCAAATGTGATTTATTGCCACATTATAACTGTATAGAAAACACAGTCGAATGCATTTAAAGCGACCATAGACAACAATAACGCGGCAACACAATACGTGAACGCCGATATGAAATAATAATCCTTCGAACGAAACACAAAATTTGCATTTGTATAATATGTATTATTTTATTTGTAGCGTAATGGCCGACCCCCGATAACCGGAGGCCCGTAAATCATAACACTTTGGATTTGTTAATTTTGCGCCGGCGGGCGTAGGGTTGACGCGACTAGTGTCAAATCGCTGAGTCTACTTAGTGATGGGAAACGACGGATGATATGAGAGACATTGTGATCTTTAAGATCATCATTTGATTTTAAATTCTTATTGATAAAAGTCGACAGTATTTTTTATAAGACTGAAGTGATAAACGACCTGACGGTGTATTTGATGGTGAATGGTTATTTCAGTCCATGGATATCTGCAACCAACTTCAAACAAAGCAGGCTACAGGGGCTTTATCACCTCTGAGTACTTAGATGGAATGCCTCACAGCCTGTAACTATGCTGGCTATCTACACGTGGATGGTGTAACACAGCAGTGCAAGCGCTCTCTCTAAATTTGTGGCAAAAAGAAGTAATAGAGTAACCGCCATATTATGACGTTATAACTACAACTTGTTTACATACATTTATATAGCTTCAATTATTTTGTATTCTTTTCAAATTGAAGTTTTGGGTCCTGTATTGAAAAATATATTGGTACTTAACAATTTTTTTTTATAGAAATAGGGTGACAAACAAGCACACAGTCCACCTGATGGTAAGTGGTTGCTGTGGTCCATAGACATCTACATCCATCCTCGTTTGCGAATCAAAATGTAGATGCGTTGTCAGCCTTGAGGACTAAGATGGAATGCCTCTTTTCCAGTAAAAAGGGTCTCCGGTTCTCTACACTCACCATACGAAACACAGCAGCATTAAGCTGCTATTTTACGCTGGTATTCTGTGAGAGCGTGGTCCTTCCCCGGTCGAGCCAACCCATTCGTGCTACAACTATACTATTAATATAGCTGCATCATGGCTCTACCACGTGACAAATAAAAAAATCTAGTCTTTTTTGTGCAATTACAATCTAATTAATGCCGCCGAGGTGGAACCCAGGACACTCGCATACTGTGAAATTTACGTCAAATGCTTAGCTTCTGATGCACGACGGTTAAA